ACAATGCAAACTACCTATCTACCAAGTCACTCATGAACATCCTTTATTAGCTAAGTATTCCTTATTAACTATTATCTCGTCTAAGATACTGGTCCACTGTCTTTATTTACCCCCATCATTAAAAACTGACGATATAACACAAATACTAGATTTATTACCGTTACATGTTTCAAACATTACCACTACTATCATTTGTGGGGATTTTAATGCTCGAATGGATGATGTTACCGGTGACAGCCGAACAAATGCTACAGGCCGGCAAGTTCTTAACTGGATGATTGCGCATAATCTCATACTATGGAACGAACGTCTTACTTATGGAGAACCTACGTCTTATACATTTCAAGGTACAAGTATCATTGATTTCTTTTTTAGTAACCATGAACTAGGATTACCTAATCTTCAAATTCGCGATGATCTATCTCTCAACTCCAATCACAAATTCATGACTTTCTCATTTACTGTTTCAGATCCTCTCGTCAATACTCCACTACCAAAAAGAACCACTTGGAATCTTGGAAAACTCAAACACCTAAAGACCAGAGACAAGTATAAGAAAGTGTTCCTTGAAAATTTTTCCCTAACTCTTCCTCCACATTCATCTCTTTCTTTTACTGATAGAACTACAGCCTGTCATTACATAGATTCCATACATAACCAATTGTGTGACGCTATTATTTTGGCTCTCGATTCAGTTTGTGGTCGGCGCTCTCCTCAGGAAGACGACTACATGAAGGATTTCTGGACACCTGAAATAACAGCAGCTTTTAACAGAAAGGAATATCTCTATAAAAAATGGCGGAAAGCACGCGGACTGAATAGTCTATCGTTGTGGATCCAACACCAAGAAGCACAGGCAATATTACGACGATTAGTGACTAAACGACGACGCGAAACATGGAACCGTTTTTGTGAGAGCATGGCAAAAGGTGATTATGCAAAAGCAATCTCAAAATTTAGCAAGATTCGTAAAAATTGGAAGATCAAGTCAACCTTTTCAACGCCTGAAGGACCACAAAATTTTACCGACGTCATGGCACATCATCTGGGGCAGAATTTTGCAGGCAACCTATTACTGTCTCGTAACTCCACAACTACGACTCAGAATCAACCTTTCGATGATGACATTCATATATGTCCTATTGATACTAATTGCATTAACGCAGCAATTTGTCATGAGCTGACTTATAATGTCATGTTTCATAATTAAACATGCGGATCATAAATTCATTTAAGAAATTCTATCCTAACTCTCTCTTGATCCGCTCCATCTAATAATATTAAAATCACTAACACTTCGTTGTCAACAATATACCTAATTTGGTCGTAACTAACACTTTTCTGATTCACATCCTATCTTCAGTCCTCTTTAACAATTCTTATAAATACCCCATCAGTTTAAATTCATAAATAAAATAATTGACTTTAGAACTATTGTTCGGTCTCGTTGACTCTTTTGTCTTAATATTATTTTTTATTTTCTAATATTTTTTATTTGATATTTTAAAAGAAATATCACACAATTGAAGAACTTCCCCATGGTAAAGCACCTTGTGTGGATCATTTCACTGTTGAGATGCTACAACCATTGACTGAAACCTTGACTCCTGTACTCTTATACATCTTTCGATTATGCTGACAATAGTCGTACACACCTCTCTCCTGGCGTGTGGCCCAAGTAATTCGGCTACACAAAAAAAGCTCTATCTCTGACCCAAGCAACTTTCGACCCATCAGTTTGACGTCCACCTTTCGTAAGATACTTGAAAAATGCCTATAAACTGACCTCGAATGCCAGAGTCCAAAACTTGACATTGCCCAAGGAGGTTTCCGTAGCTCCCGGAGTACACTTGATCAAGCTCTCTGCCTCGTAGAAACATGTTCAATTTTCTGTCGAAAGCTTAAAGTCACTCTTACTCTACTCTCGCTTTCGTTGACATTAAATCCGCATATGATATTGTTGACCGGAATTTTATTTGGCAATCTTTTCAGCCGTACCTATCTCTAGCGTTACTTGGTCTAATTCAACATCTTTTTGATGATGTCTATATAGAAGTTCTTGTTTCGAACGCTACCTCTTATCGGTTTTCACCTACCACTGGCGTCCTACAGGGTTCCATTCTATCACCGTTTTTGTATTCCATTTACATTAACCAGTTGCCCTCTCTACTTCGCCGTCAACTGCTTGATGACGTGCCTCCAACAGATGTCTGCCGTTTTGCTCGATCCATCAATTGTCTCCTGTATGCTGATGATGTTGTACTCATAGCTGACCCTACTGACCTTGAGGACCTGCTGCAGAAATGTGAGGAGCATAGTCAACGCTTAGGTTATCGCTGGAATCCACTGAAATGTGCTATACTGGCTCTTAGTTCTGATACTCGTTTTTATTCTCTGTATGACACTACACTACCTCGTCAGATATCCTTTTCCTACTTGGGTATCTCTATTAGCCCTGGTGGTCTCTTGAACACAGCTGAATTAGTACAGAACAATGTTAATAAGGCGCTTCAAACTATGAAACAAATGACGTCCCTCGGTGTCAATCACAAAGGATTTGATCGGTTTCTCTCTGTCCATTTTTACACTCAAATAGTACATGCTCAGCTTGAATATGGCCTCGCTCGTAACACGGTCTCTGTTGCTTAAATCACAAAATTAGAAGCATGTCAAACACAGTGTATCCGAAAAATTTTTGGCTGTAGTACTTGGTCCTCAACTAAAGTTATGTTGCACTTGGTCAACCTGCCCACAATGAAGGAACGTGTTCACCTCCTGCAAGTTAAATTCTTACTTCGGTCTATCTACTCTCCGAACGATACTCTTGTCTCCAAGTTTTTACCACATATACGCCCTTCTTCAATCCACTCTTAATGGTATATACTTTCGAAAACACCTATCTGGCAACGGTATACTGCTTCTTTTGACGATAATATTTATGATTCTCGTGCTTTTGCTGGTATCTGTAAAGCATACCTGAAAGATAATCTTGGTGATCGACGAAACAGTAACAATGCTGTTCTCTTGTCTGTCTGCCGTCCTACCCTAAGTATCGATCCTATCCTCTGGTTACCTATGTCAAATGCAGAATGCAGCCGAATAGTCCGCTGGTGTCTAGGTTGATTACCTGGTGGCGTCCCTAAACCGTGCATCTATCACCCTAATACCATGTTCACAAGATCTCATGCTATATGGTGCCTACATATGCATCGACGATTATAAATGCCTTTGACCGAACCCGATCCTTTGTCCTTCCTCTTGAATAAGCTGCCAAATAAACAAAAATGCATGCCACCAATCTCATCAGCTTTCAACTCATCTGTCTTTTCCACCTGGACGATTCGTTGGCCTTCTATGTGCCTAATACTTTTTGAACTTGACTATCTCCATCATGGCAAACTTCCTTCAGAAACTGCCCCCATTGGTACAAAACTTGTAAACTGGTTACGTAACTCTGAATCTAGTATTTATTGATATATCTTGCTTTTCCTCTTCCCTTCTCTTTGTTTTTTACCCTTTTGCCTATCAAAAGGTTTTTTAGTGCACTTTTATTCTTTCTCGAACTGACCCGGGCAATCCAATATGCCAGTATTATGTGCTCACATGGGTTGTTTAAATTTTTGCTATAAAAATTTTTGTTATAAATAAAATAATTCTTAATCGTATTGAATTATATATCATTTATATACATATTAAGCTATACGTGCGTATACTTTAGAAATGGTAAATAAGTTTATTCTTTTATTTTAATGAGCTTGTAGAGTTCATACACGTAACTAAAATATATTATTATTTTATATATTTATTATGATGATTCCTACAGAAAGTGAATAATAATAAAATAATAATAAAAGGTTATTAAATATTTTTGCTTCAATCTTTTGAGAAGCATGCGGAACTGCTATTTTTTTTTAAAAAAAAAAATCTGAATACACTCCTGTCAAAATTTATAGAAAACATATTTTCTTAGTTATCTTCTGTTTCTTTTTCATCTCTTTTCAAAAGTAATATTTATCCTCTCATAATGCTTATCGGAATAGGAAAATACGATCCATATGGAAAGCAATTCCTCGAAAAACATCCACATCTTATTAAAGAATCTGTCACAGATCCAATCATCGATTTTTCAAAACTACTTGATCCATCCTACACTCCATCTAGACATATATTATTTCATAAACTGTTTAGTGTGTCCGATTCCCTATTAATAACACTTGGTAACAAATTTGACGAACGCAACATTCTAAAACAAGGCAACTTGAAAAACATCGCTATTCAGACAGAGCAAGAAATTTACGTGCATGGATCGACTGTTGTCTGGAGTCGAAAGGGCAATATTGTGAAATCGTTTAATTATGATGATAAACTACAATCCATCAAAACAATTTTATTTGCATGGTTCCCAATTAATAAAAATAAGAATACTATTGTTAAAGATACCTCCGATATACCATTACTTAAACAACGTCTAGAATCGTGTAATATACCCGCTGTTTATGATGCAGATGATCATGTACAAAAGAGAGCATTATGTATAGTATTTGAAGATCACATTAGAGTTCATTTTGAAGATGGTCTTGAATATACAACTCATATACCATTTGAGATCGATAACGTTATACCACTTGATGTGGGACTGCTGGTCAGCAAAAAACCTTCGCAGAGCGAGGAAACGAGAAGAAGAGATAGTAATACAAGCCATTCTATAAAAACCGAACAACGATCTAAACTAACTGATAAATATATATATTCATTTATGACTGTTAAGCATCCATTACGTGGTCCATGTCCTATAAGGCTCAGCCCTGGATTGCAGCATGTTACTTCTAAATCATTTCGGCCTGATTCATCGCATAAGCTTTTATTTGCCACTACAGAAAGTCAGTTACCTATCATTGTGACATTTAATATGAAAGACAAAGCTCATTATTTATGGACCTATAAACGACGTAATAATAAAACTAATCAACAACAAACAACTCTTGGGCAGAAAGAAGAAGATGATATTAGCAAAGATAAAGAAGCTTCAGTTATTTCAATATCTTCAAAGAATAAATTATTGAAAGCAAATATGCTTCCAAAAAAAATTCAAAAAAAAGGAAAGATAATGGATGCTAATCGAAAGCAATTCCAGCATTTTCCTATTTCAGAATATGAAGATAGCTTTTATGATAACGAGTTGGAGAGAGGATTGTATAACGCTCTTATTGATCGTACAGAAATATCAGTTAAATTTCTCTGGAGGGAATCTTTGAATACAAAGTAAAATAGAAGAAAACCAATATTAAATTGATTTTTTTTTTAAGAAAATATTTATTTTATAAATATATTAATAGAATACGCAAAAGGTTAGCAGAGTTTCCAAATATTAAAACAGAGGCATTTATGACACATAACCTGCAGGGACAAGAGTTGATTTGTATTTTAAATCACTCAATTAACCAGCTTCAAGTTATTGATATTGACAAAATTATGAATGAAGTTAGCTGCTGTGTTATCTTTAAGGCACCTGCTGTTTCTGCTATACCCATTAATGCAACACGAGATCAATTTAAAGATTTGCTTTATTTAGACGTTTCGAAACAAGCACATCTCTTTATAGATGCTACAGTAACTAGCTTACCCATTCATTTTCATGATAATATACCTCAACAATTTTCTGATCCAGTTTTTGAGCGATTTAATGTACACTTTGAGAGCGGTGAAATCAGACGTTATCAATTCAATCTACGTCCTAAGTCTTCGCTAGTTTTAAATAGTTTTGCTGCTGTTGGATGCGTCTCAACAACTGTATTTGCCCAACTCTGGCGACATTTCATTCAATACTATCGACTTACATCACATGATACTCTGCCAACAGAATGGGAGTCCTTTTTTGTTGCTCTATTATCGCTAATACATATTCAGCGGCTAGGTCAAACTCCTGATGAAAGACATAAGATCAGACTGCAGCAAATTAAAGTCTCTAATAATAATATTATCACAAAAGAAATAGGATTTTTACCTGAAACCTTACGTAATTTTAGCGTAAGCTTAGATCAAATGCAATTAGAAGGTATACCCTTACGATGGATCGATCAACTATCACCTACAAATACCATTGATGTTGCATTGTTTGTGGATATTATACGTAGTTTACATGTCCTTTTTGAAGAATACCGTATAAAGAAAACTACAAGAGAACAGGCAAAAAAATTAGGCTATCTTCTAATGCAATGTTCTGTCATTTTGGATCACCGAGAATGGATTGACTATTACAAAAAACAAGGCATCAAACCTGAATTTACCATTCCCTTGAGGTTAATTAAACAAAGTGATAGCATTATATTCTCATCATTACCACCACCACCACCGCCCAACATTGAACTTTGTCTTCAATTAATGGCAACTGCATCAAATACTGCTCTCTTAAGTTTCTTTGGAGTAAGCACATTAGAGCCCATGATAGGTTATTGTCAACATAATTATGCAAAGACAATTAAACAATTATGGATTCTTTATGGTATTCTAAATGAAGTATCTGCAGACAAAAGCCTTTTACTAAATAAGATGGTTGAGTACGGTATCATGTTGGAAGAAATTAAAGATTTAGTATATTCTTTGGCATCTCCAATTTTAGAAGCCCTTGAAAGTCTGAAGGAGAACCCTGCTGTAGACTGGAACAAAGAAGTATACCTCATTCTTGATCGCGATGATATTTACAAACAACTTGAAAACAAATCAATCATTTGTGATCCAAATTCAAGCACATTTAAATTCCCAGCTTCCAAGGTAAAGAACCATTTATATGTGTATATAAATTAAAACTTTTTTTATTTATATTTTATGATAAAGAATTCTGGAATACCTCGAACTATGATGGATGTGATAAAAGTATGTCGTGAAAATTCTGAAGGTTCGCATATTTTCAAGTCAGATTTGCTGGATATTGAAACAGAGCGTTTACGATTTGGTAGAAGTGGGTACATTGATAAGGTGCATAGGATGTTGGATGCAAAATGTATACCAGATTTAACTGTACCTGAACTTAATTTAAGGTAAGGTATATATATAAATATATGTATATAAAGAAAAAAAAAGTTGTATTTGATATATATATTTATCGACATCTTTCTTATTGCCAGTGACGAAGAATTAGCTGCAGAGCATCAATCACGAGTTTTGATGTTAGTTCAACGCACATTAGCTTTATCAACTGGTCGGGCCATTTATGCTTTTGCAACTCACCTTGCAAGTCCTATCAAACCTTTACCTTTTGAGCCTATAACTTTAGCTGCCAAGATTTTACCTTTACGTACCATTGTTAATCTTGATGATGTCATTAATAAAGACAGTCTTCAATGGCCTCTGTTTCATAATGGTGTAGCTTCAGGTCTTCGTATATCAGCTAACAGCAATGTAACTGATTCTTGGATTAACTTTTGTTTTCCTGATAATACAGTAATCGAATCTCAACATGGAGGCCTTTTATTAGCCATGGGGCTTAATGGTACAATTAAACACTCACCATCTGTTGACTGGTATCGATTTGTGATGCAAGAGGCGCCTGATATTGTTACATCTGGTATTTTATTAGGTGCTGCTGCTGCATATAAAGGAACCAAAGACCCTACTTTGACAAAGGTGCTTCAATTACACATTCCCGTTCTTTTCCCACCAGACTCGCACAGTTTTAATCATTCTAATTTAATTCAAGCAGCTAGTGTACTTGGCATGGGTCTCGTTTATATGGGTAAATGTGAAAGATCGTTAGTGTTAACAATGTTAGAAGAGATTAGTAAAAACGCAATGACGGATCCTTCCATTTTAGAACCCGATTACGAGGCCTATAGTTTATCAGCAGGCTTTTCTTTAGGCATGATTACATTAGGGCAAGGCCCTAAGGCGATCACAGCTGTAGACTCTGAACTATTAAATACATTATTTGAGTTAATGAAACTGAATGCAGATATAACAGCACCTGGTGCTACAATAGCATTGGGCTTGATGTATTTGAAGACAAATGATCGAGCTGTAGCGAATTCTATTATGTTGCTTGAAAAACGTCCTTATCTGAATTATGTGAGACCTGATATTTTGCTATTACGTGTGCTAGCCAAATATTTAATTTTATGGGATGATATAGAACCTACCAAATCATGGATAGATGAACAATTACCAGATTTTATGACAGAAGATGATGAGGATGCTATCTTACAAGCAAAGTACCATATAATTGCAGGAGTTTGTCTTTGTCTAGGATTGAAATTTGCTGGTACCAATGACAATGATGCCTTTAAATGCTTATTAGAGCAACTTGACTACTTTAAACAGTTACTCAACGTGCAGGCAACAACAATTCAAGGCAATGTGACCAAGTATGTAATACAGACATGTGTTAATGTACTTTGCACAGCATGTGCTATGGTGATGGCAGGATCTGGTAACCGAGATCTTTTTGACCGTTTAGAAAGCTTATGGTCACGCACTGAAACTATGACATACGGCGATCATATGGCTATTTCCATGTCCCTTGGCTTATTATATGCAGGTTTAGGAGGATACACATTAAAGACAACAAATGAAAGTATAGCTGCTTTATTGTGTGCATTTTATCCATTTTATCCAATGGATACAGAAGATAATCGCTACCATATGCAGCTATTTAGGCATCTTTGGGTGCTAGCATTAGATTCAAGATGGCTTGTTCCTTTTGACGTGACAAGTCGACAACCATGCCGTCTTCCGCTAGAAGTGAAACTGGACGGTAAAAAAGTAAGAATTGCTGCGCCAACTGTTATTCCTGATTACAATCAGATCAAGGAAATTAAAGTGATGGAAGATAGGTATTGGCCTCTTAAAGTTGATATGACAGTTAAAGGGGATTATCAACGTTCTATCACACAATCGGGTATTTTATATGTTAAGAGAAAGAAGAATAAAAAGAGTTACGAAGAGGTAAGAAAAAGAAGGAAAAAAAAAGTTGAAATAAACGTTTAAGTGATATCAAAATTAATTACATTTTTTCTTTATTAGGACCCTAATGGTAGAAGAAGTTTTGGTTTTTTAAATAGAATATAATTATATTATACAATGCTTGTCCCTTTTTTTTTATCCTTCTAATGTGCGAAGTTTACTCTTATTAATATATCTATTGTTTATTTCTGAATAATTACTAATGAAAAATAGCAACTAATATAATATTCTCGGGCATGAAAAATTAATGTAGATTTTTGATTTAACTTTTTTTTTTTTTAATTTGAACAATTTTTAAAATAAAGACCTTTTGTGATCATTTTTTTCCTCGTACTATTTAGGAACAAAGACTAATTCAGTGCACATTTATCAATATCACACAGTACTGTAAAGCTAGTTTTTCTACATCATTCTTAAAATAATATGCTATGATAAAATAGTTTATTTCAAACTGAAATATATATACATATTTGTGCGTGTGTGTATTAAATCTGTATCTGTCATTATAGTTCATCAGTAACAATTGAAAACCTCTTTTAATATGAGGGCAATTTTTACTATTAAATAAATAAAAAAGTTACCAGTGTGATATAAAAACTTAGTCGCATACGAAAAGCAAGATATAATTAGCTTAATTGTTCATAATAAAGCGGCTCGAATATTATGGTAAAATCATCTATAAATTCTTTATTAATTATTCCATCGCTAAAAGTATACATCTTTAGCTATCTGAAAACTCAAGAAAGGAAAATGACAAAGCTGAATTATTTAACATATTGCTTTTAGGTTGGACTAGTCAGTGTCCCAAAATACAACAGGAGTTGTGTACTAGTAATGTACGGCATCAGAAGAAGAAAGTGTAAAAACTTCTTGCACACACAAAAAAAAAAATATTACAGATCTAAAGTCAGCAAGTCACACAAACTTTTTAAAGTATTTACATAAAAAAACTTTAAGCTCTAATTTTTTTTTTTTTTCTGCTTTTATTGTTATCATTTCAATGACAGAATATCGTATTGAGCGTGACACTTTTGGCGAGCTAAAAGTACCTTCCAATTGCTATTGGGGTGCTCAAACACAAAGGTAATGATCTAAGACCATTTTATATTTTATTTTGTAATAGCTAAAAAGTTAACCTTATGCCGCCAATAATAGATCCTTACAAAACTTTAAGATTGGTGGTGCTACTGAGCGTATGCCACCAGAATTGATTAGAGCTTTTGGTATTTTGAAAAAGGCTGCTGCTAAAGTCAACCTTGAGTTTGGTTTAGATCCTAAAATTTCAGAAGCTATACAACAAGCCGCTGATGAAGTACGAGCAGAGTATATTTTCGAAAAAATAATAATAATAATAAAAGAAAACTCAAATACTTTCTTTTAGGTTATTAGTGGTAAGCATGATGATCAATTTCCGTTAGTTGTTTGGCAGACTGGCTCTGGTACCCAAACACAGTAAGTAAAGGTTTTCTTTTTTTCTCTTTTTTTTTTTAGATATCAAATGGTAACTTACACCCTTTCAAAATTAGTATGAACGTCAATGAGGTACTTTCTAATAGAGCTATCGAGATCTTGGGTGGTCAGTTAGGTAGCAAGAATCCCGTTCATCCAAATGATCATGTCAACATGAGTCAATCCTCTAATGACACGTAAAATTACACTCTCCCTTTTTTTTTTTTTTTTTGTTTTCTCTTTTCCCTAACCTTCTACTTCTCCTTTATATATAAATATATACATAGTTTTCCAACAGCTATGCACATTGCCGCCGTTGTCGAGATTAATAATGATCTAATTCCGGCCTTGACTGAACTTCGCGATGCCCTTCAAGCTAAATCTGATGAGTTTAACGATATTATTAAAATAGGACGCACACACTTACAAGACGCTACACCCCTAACACTTGGCCAAGAGTTTTCAGGTTATGTTCAGCAACTTCAATTTGCTATTGACCGTATCAAGTCTACTTTACCCCGCTTGTCTTATTTGGCTCAGGGAGGTACTGCTGTAGGCACTGGTCTTAATACTCGTAAAGGATTTGATGTTAAGATCGCTCAAGCCGTTTCTGAATCGACAGGGTTCGACTTTAAGACAGCTCCTAACAAGTTTGAGGCATTAGCTAGTAATGATGCCATGGTTGAATGTTCAGGTGCTCTCAACACAATTGCTGTATCACTTATGAAGATTGCTAATGATATTAGACTTTTGGGTTCGGGTCCTCGTTGTGGATTAGGTGAGTTAAGTTTGCCCGAAAATGAACCTGGTTCGTCTATCATGCCTGGCAAAGTGAACCCAACTCAATGTGAGGCAATGACAATGGTTTGTGCACAGGTTATGGGCAATCATACAACTGTAACCGTTTCAGGTAGCTATGGTCATTTTGAATTAAATGTATTTAAGCCAGTTATCATTAAGAATGTGCTTCAATCAATCAAACTATTAAGTGATGTGTGTCGTTCATTTACAAGAAATTGTGTAGTGGGTATTATTGCTAATCGAGATCAAATTAAACTTATTATGAACAAGGTGAGATAGTTTGTATATGTAATATATATATATATGTGTGTGTGTGTATATGCATGTATGTATATGGTTTTTTTTTTTTTTCACTAACACATTCTATTTTAGTCACTCATGTTAGTGACATCATTAAATCCTGTCATTGGATATGACAAAGCAGCTGAATGTGCCAAAAAAGCACACAAAGAAGGCACTACTCTTAAAGAAGCTGTTTTATCTTTGGGATATTTGTCCTCAGAACAATATGATGATACAGTTAGACCTGAACTTATGATTCATCCTCAATAAAATTTATTTTATTTTTTTTAAAGTATAATACATCTAATTGTTCTTGCACATGTTGACAAATCATTTTAGCTTGTTCTCCTCGATCATTCTCTAACAATGATTCAAGTTTGCATTTAAGCCGTGTATCCAGCATCCAATTCACATAAGCTTGTTCAACCAATTGGGTGTCAAGTTTATTTAAGATTTGAAAAGAGGTTAGCAAATTACAGCGTAGCATTGCTAGTTGTTTTCGGCTAAATTCCAGATCAGTAGCTAGTTGATAATGTTCTATGCTATACCATGCGGTATCACGGTGTTTTGTTGCCTCTAAAAACGCTTTATAACTATAGAACAACATGAATACATGTTCCTTTTCTTTTTTTCTTTTTTTTTTTAAAAAAAAAAATTGTGTACCTTTCTGATTCTGCATAGGGCGGCAAGGGTGCACTATTTAAAAATCCTTCATTAAGATCACGTAAATAAACAGAACGAGATACTTCTTGTGTTGCTAATAACACAGGCTTATTATTGTTTTGTTGCCACCAAAAACGTGTTGCTATTATGTAAACTAAAAGTACAGAAATAATAGCGACAAGTATTTCAATAGTATATTGACCAAAGAACTTTTCAAGCCATTGCTTGCTGTTATTGCTATCCGTTTTTTGGCAGTATGTTGTTTCGGCATGTCTGTGTTCGATAGCTGTATCCTTGTTTGTAGCTGGTTGCATTATAGTAGCTTTTGCAACAGACTCTTCTGCTTTTTGTTCTGTTTTTGTTATTGTGGTAATAGGAGGTAATTCAGGTATTTGTAATTGCTTCTTTGGTGTTAATATTGTGGCTGCCATTTCTTTCTGAGGCTTTACATTCCTATCCTCATCTAACTTCTTGCTTTGGTCAGACACTATTGGTTCCTCTAGTTTATATTCTTGATCCTTTGAGTTATTATAGTCTTGCTGATTCAATAGTTTTTTATTATGTTGTTCCACTTGATATTGCATCTCATTCACCTTATTCTTAATCTCTTCTGCTGCATTTTTCAAAATAGGTATAAATACTTGAATGCTGTCTGCCATACCTTTTAGTGCAGCTTTCGTCACAATACCTAATGAAAGGAACTTTAATTTTTTTTTTTTTTTTTTTTTTTTTTTGCTCTTTTGTTACCTCGTACAAGCACTCTTTGAGTCCATCGAACACCCAAGTAGCATGATAATTGACATTCGGATTGACTAACCCATGTAATACAATATCTTACAGAAGGAATAAACGCATCTGCATAAGGTAAAGCAGCTGTTTTGGTAGAGATTTGTACTGTATAACAACTACAAAACAAAACCAGTTTGTTATTCTAATTAGAAAATAAAGATCTTAATTTACTTACATATAATCATTCTTTTGAATCAAGATTTGTGTTTCAACAACTTCTGCTTCTTTCATACGCACTATATAATAAACGGTAAAAAAAAAATTAGAAAAAAAATGGATGTAAGGGTGGGAGGTTTAGCGTTTTGTATCTTACCAATTGGATTGCTTACTGGCATCCAGTATTTCAATAAACGTTGCATTTTTCCATTCTCTGTATACCATTTAGAAACTGTCAAATCTAAAAAAAAAAAAAAAAAAAAAAAAAAAAAAAAAAAAATCCATACGTTTAGTCTTATAAAGTAAAAGGATAAATATAGCCCTATATATTTGATAGATAATTTACCATGTCCTTCGATAGCTTCTGTTTTTTTTGCCCATACACCCCCATTACTCTGCTCCTCACTAAACATTAATTCATAAAGCCGTTTTGCAGAAATAGGTAATGTAATTTGACATTCAAGACGGTCGAGATGATCATCACAGTTACAAGAAACGGGTTCATTTGGGCATTGGATATGCTCAGGTGGCAAATTTGCTGACAGAGAAATAAAGAGTTGTTAGAATTAGAATAATAATAATAACAAAGGTAAGGAGGAGGGGAGGGTCATAGATACTAGTTTTAATAATAAACTTACGATCAGGTAAGAGCGCTTTTACCGTCGCGATAGGTTTGATAGGTTCTGATCCTCCTCGATGTCGTGATACTAATGAAGTCTGTTCGGTTTTCTCTGGAGCACTTATTGTGGCTGCCCTTCTCTTTTTTGATAACGATGTTATTGCACTCTTGAACGATTTAGGTAAATTAATCATAACACTTTGATGTGACGCTGTATTGATAGCTTTCATTTCCTCATAGAGTGTTTGTGTATGTATGCCGGTTGATTTGGCATATTGAATAGCCAATTTGAGTTTTTTGGCAATCATTTCTATATCTTCCACAAAGGTGCTAAATGCAAGTGACTCATTATTGTTTTCTGTTTTGAGTAGAAGAATACGTTCATGTTTGTCATCAACTATATTAATAGACAAAATATCCTTAAGACGAACTACTACCTAAATATATAAATGTATACAAATATATATATATATATATATATATTTGAGATAAAGTCTGTATGTGAAAGAGAGTGATTTTTTTTTTAAAAGATTCAGAAAATAACTTACTGAGTTAATACACGTCGTCAAAATACAACTGTAAAACCAAAAGGCATCTTCTGTAATAAAACCGTACCCTACATAAGCATATCCATACTTGGAAGGTGATTCAATATCTGTATTATCATCGACACTTTGAGGTCTTTTTTTTAAACATCCAATAAAAACTACACATACATAGAGTTATTAATAAATTCAACCCTTTTGTATGCGTGAGAGGGAGAGGGAAAGAACAATAAGTTTCCTCCACACTCATACATACACACACACACGTATACGCACATTATTCATATCTTACCATCTAATACCATTTCATTCGGTTTTACACCTTCAAATAAATTTCTCAACTCTCTATTATGCAATTTCATTTCCTCATCAAATCCTTTTATTTCCTCTTCAGACATTTGCTTCGTTTCCGGTGGCCAAATTACCTGATCAGCCAATGTGGTATTGACTGGTACAGCATCCATTGGTACAGCGGGTATAAGCGATCGAGGGATCCCCCAAGTACCTAAAGAAACCGGAATTTGACCAGCTGCCTTCCAGACTAATAAGGGTGTCAATGAGGATGAATTAGATAATGTCGCTTCCGTATCAGGTGTTGTAGAAACCATGACAATCGATGTGCCTTCCTCAGGATAACTTTTGGAATTATTGACGGATGAACTATCGATGGATGTTTCCAAATTACCATGTTGTTGAATGATGAGCGTGGGTGACTTTACCAAGTCTAAATCAGTTTGAGGGGGGGCCTCAAAGGCACGCAACCAGATCCGTAATGACTCCTCTGTCTCTGCCTGTAAAGTATAAACCGTTGTCCTGGCCCTGACATCAAAACAAAAGCGGCGATCCATATCTCCTCGCTGTTCAACTTTGCATTCGCTTATAGGGACACGAATTTTACTTATCACTTTGGAGGAATCAAGTTGAGTTATGCCGAATTGACCAGCATGTACATAAACCCATCTACGTGACCATGAATGCTTTGAGGTCTTTAAGAAGAGATAGCCCCATTGAGAGTGTGTCAGGTTAGACAACATATCCTGTGAATCAGGCGTGGTTATATACTTGCCAATATCACGATCTGGTGCCATCAGCCTTATGTATTCCTCTTCAAGTTGCTTAGAGGCCTTTCGTTGATAATAGAGTTGATATGCACATGTCATTTTATCATCTAGCAACCACTGTTTCCAGTATGAGATGGCCGTGTTCAGATGAGCCCAAACCTCAATGTCCTTATAGAACTCTTGCTTTGTCACTGTAGCAGTTGAAAACCGTTCAACTAAACAGTGCTCTAGCAAAGATCTAAACTCGATTACTCTGATAACATACTGGGACGATAGATGAGTGTATTCTTTGCGTACCTCATGTAGTCTAAATGCTTCTTCACGAATAGATGAGGGATCTCTAGACTTATTGATACTACTGTATTTAGCTAACTGTGATTCATAACGTTCAAGGGATTTTTGATATTGTTTGTGAAAGGATCTAAAGTCTTTGAGATGAGTCTTGACGAATTGTTGAAGAGGTGTGACTAGACTTTCTTCTAAATTAGAAATCTATCATGAATAATAATAATAATAATAAATAGGTTAAAGTTACATAAACATGTGCTGCTACTTGTGATACTTACAAAATTTGTCTTGAATGTCAAGCTTGATTGTAAGGCATCTGAGAAACCTTGTATAACTGCAGTAGAGAATAGAGTGCCTGTAATAAATAGAATAATTACTTGACTGTAATATGATAATTTATAAATTTACATGCATATAAATATATGTATATACATATTTATGTATACCTATCAATGATATTTCATCACCTTTTGGAATCATTTTCTGACATAAAATAATTGTTTCCGAGTTTAATTCTAAATAAAAAATAAACAAATTCATAAATATAACATCCTTTATATCTATGTATATTGTTGTAGCGCCTTATTTCATTTACTTTTTAACTTTTCGGCATATTGCTTCAAATGACGAGAAAAGGAATCTAACCAATGTTCTAAATGATCTAATTGTTGTTCATAATAACAAGTATTCGTTCGAAATACAGGTGAGTCTGTTATTGCATCATAGAGTGTAAATATAGGTTGTAAGGAAGGAGAAGTGTCTTCCATTTTATATATACAAGTATATATGTAAATAAAAGAAAAAAAAAAAAAAAAAAAAAAAGGTAAATTAGGAACCGACCTGCACAACAATAAATGAATGTATTATGTAATATTTCCTGGTTTTTTTTTTTTTTTTTTTCTTATTCAGCAAAATTCACATAATTTATTATTTATTTATTTTATTTTATTTTATTTTATTTCATTTTATTTTATTATATTTTATTTTTTTTTCCCTTTATAATGACTCCATCATCTACATTATACGAAAAAGCACTCCGTTACTTTTTACTTAAAAAATATAAACTAGCTGCTACAACTTGTGATAAAGCGCTTTGTGCATTAATCGAAAATGATCCGTTAGAGTTTAATGTTTGGACACTTTATTTGAATATTACATTTACATTGTTGTCAACAAAATCCCGCTCATCTCTAAATTCTGAAAACACTATTACAATAACTGAAACTTGCTGCTCTATTTGGAAGAAGCTTATTGATAATAACCCGCTTCAAGTTGATCCGAGACTTATTTCTGCTTAGTAATATATATATATATATATATATATGTATATATGCATAAATATGTATTTACATATTATATATAAATATTCATTACTATTTTTAGTCTAATCATGGTTATTAAGCTTAATGAATATAAGGTTGCTAGAGATAGTATTGAGGAATGGTTTGCCTCTTTACCTAATGACGATACAAAAGAATATGAGCATATTGTTGAACTCTATATCAGATGTATTTTACCCGCTCTTGAAGATTACGAATCAGCACGAGTATTTTTAGAATATAATACAGTATTAACTAACAAAAAGAAGGAGGTAAATAGAAAGAAGAAGAAGAAGAAGAAGAAAAAAAAAAACCCCAAATGACAAATAGTGTTAGATACATGTTTAAAAAATAAAATAGGAATTGTTAAAGGATATTGAACAAGAACAACAAAAAAACATTTTAGAAAGACAAAAAAGAGAAGAAAACGAAGAAGAAAAGAGAAGAAAAGCAATAGAAGAAAGAGAGAGAAAAGAAAAGGAATTGGAAGAAGAAGAAAAAAATATTCAGCGGCGACAAGAAAATAAAGACCTAAGATCATCAAACGAAACACCACAAATGCCTGCATCATCAACATCCTCACACAAGTCAACGATAAATAAAAAGACGACGACTAGTTTACTTCAGAAATGGTTAAGTCAACAACAAACATCCGGAGTAGTAGTTATAATTGTTATATTCATGATAATAGCTTTATTACGGGGACAAAGAACAAGACTAACTTTTGTTTTAAAGAAAATTTGGGACACTGTCAAAATGGGCACTAAAATAACTTATATGTAAATAAATCCCTTTTTTAGTTTATTTGAATTTATTCAGAAAAAAATAGTCTAATGTTATCGACATCATATTGGATTAATTTAGCAACAATGCCACGGATAAAGTGAAACTTGTTGACATAATTTTCTTTTTTTTTTTCTTTTTTTTTTTCTTTTTTTTTTCTTTTTTTTTTTTTTTTAATGGGGGGAATAATGAAAAATTAATTTTGGGGTTGGACAGCATGTGAGATTAACAAAAAAAGTGACATTTATTAATAAAATTTTATATATAGTCATATAAATATATGTATATCTATTTTTTTTTTTTTGGCTATTTATTCTTTGTTCTTTAGTTTTTTTTTTTTTTTTTTTTTTTTTTTTTATACCATTTAGTATGATACCTGATTCATTCATTACAAGGTGGCTTATTTATGCATCAGCCGTTATTCAAACTGCAGTTGCACCATTTGCCTTCTTTTATTATATTTATTACTTTACAACCGAACGTAAATTATTTAGCTTACATTATGCTTCTCTTGACACCTTTGTACATTATTGGTTAGGTTGCGAACTCTTTTTTTATGTCTTCTTTGAAATGACTCGTAATCGTATGCAACGTATATTACCGTCTATCGCACCAAGTGCCAAGGAACGTAGTGAGATCTATAAATTATGTGTAGCTAATATTGATGATGCCCCTACATGGATATCGGAGTGGTTCATGTTAGCCTCCGACATTACACGACACCCAACTTTTGAACAAATAGGTCGAGATAATGTATCTGAATGGCTCTCTTGGGCCTTCTTTGGGTTACCTCTTGAAGAGGTTCTACAAGAGGAAAGCCTATCAGAAGAACTCAATTCAATGATTGATCATTTCCAAGATGAATTTCATATTGATTTTGCACCAGGTTATAATGAGGACGTTGTTGCGTATCGTATCAATTTAGACCCCGTTCATGCCTATCATCGTCCATTGGCCTTTTATACACTCATCATGTTCCTTACAACTCTTTTCGGTTTCATCTGTCAGTGGATCTGGGGGTTTCGAAAATTTGGACCCGAGACTCGTTCGATGCTTTGGAATAATATGGATACCCCGACCTTGAGTGATCAAAAGGTCTCATATTGGTTCCGTGATGGAAACCGTAAAAAGAAACCTGTTGTGTTCATTCATGGGATTGGAGCTGGACTTATGTGTTATATCAGTTTCTTGATCAAATTGATAACCTTAGATGCCCCACTCTTTTTTATTGAACTACCTTATGTATCTATGCACTGCATTGAAGAAGTACCGACCATGCAGGAGACGATTAAAGATCTACAAGAGATGTTAATGAAACACGAATTTTCGAATGCTGTCTTTGTGGCTCATTCATTAGGTACAGCTGTTACCTCTTGGGTTGTTAAACACATGCCACAACAAGTAGCTGGTGTCATCTTTTTGGATCCTATTTGTTTTATGTTGCATTATAAAGATGTCTGTTCTAATTTTGTCTATAGATCACCCAGCACAGCTTCAGAGGTAATAAATACATTGACTATGATGTAAATGTATATAATCACCTAATTCTTTTTTTTTTTTTATTAGTGCCTTGTCAAATATTTTGCTTCAACTGAACTTTATATCTCATATTATATTTCACGACATTTTCATTGGTTTCAAACCGCCCTTTTCGTTACACCAACCAATGTTCATCATCAACACACATATACATCGTCAGTAAAGATGCCTAAAAATGTGAAAGTTTATTTAAGTGAACTCGATAATATTGTTAATTCAAAGAGAGTCGATCTCTACTTGAATCATCATGGTTTAGATGCCGTGGTAATGAAAGGACTAGATCATGCCTCCCTTTTATTTTATCCTAATTGGCAAAATGATATACTAGCCACTATTCAACGATTTATTAATGATGAATAGAGTATTCCCCCCGTATCTTTTTTTTTTTTAATTTTTATTTATTTATTATTTATTTTTTTGTATGCACATACATGCATGCATGTATATATCTTGACTTATTTAATGATTATTTATTTTATTCCTTAATGATAATAATAATAAAAAAAAAAATTGTACTAATGTTAAACATCAAATATAATTTAAAATTATTAAAGATAAATGTATATCAACATCTGATGATTGAAAGTAACAGGTTTGTAAATACAGTGACAAGCATCTTGGTGCCCTGCCCTGCCCTGCCTTGCCTTGTCCTATTCATAAAGAAACAGGTAATACAAGTAAAATGCAAATAAGCTCAATATTAGCCATACATTCATCATTTAAAACATGAATAATAATAATTGTCAAATGATGCTCAATGATTAAAGAGGGGTCATCAAGAGGCTTTTTTTTAAAAAAAAAAAAAAAAAAAGAACCTATTTTATTCATAAATCATTGTTTATGTATATTAAATATACGAAAAGAAAACAAAGCTCCTTTTAGGATCATCAAGGGTGACTAAAGAAAGGAGGTATGACTATGGCATAATCTGGTGGTAGGTAGGGGGAGAGAGAGAGAGAGAGAGAGAACCTTCAATTGAAGAACAACCTTTGCGCTGGTCTGGTTATGATGATAGCTATAAAGTCATGATGAAAGAGAGAATCAAGTTTGTATAAATTATTAACCGATTGACAAACCAAAGAAGGATATAATAGAAAAAAAAAAAGAGGAAAAGGGTTTTAGGTATTTGAAGTTCAAAGGTACATAAAGAGACACTATCTAACTTACTTCTTTGTGAGCAATTGAATTAGACGCTTGAAATAGTGTAGTGTAGTCAACTATCCAATACATGGATTGCGTTTAATGAAAGATATGAATGGGATCTAATGATAAACATTGTATTAATAATTTCGATTTCTTAAGATGACTCCAGGTGGGCCAAGATCTTTCTCTGATGTAGTACAAGGCTCATGAGTGAGATTGTTATCCTTTGCCCCTCCTGGGTCATCATCTGTTGTAATCTCACAAAGAACTTACTTCTTCTTGTGTACAACGTATCCTAAATACTTGCAAGTATTACCTACGTACAGTTTTATAATAATAACGTACTCTTATCTATTTAGATGGGAACAAAGAAATAGGGATAAATAATATCAAAAATGCATCAAAAAAAAAAAAAAAAAAAAAAAAAAAAAAAGATACGCGAAATTCTCAAATACAATAAGCCAAATTAAAGAAAGTAATAATTTGATATAGAAACATTGTACAAGAAGACATCATTAAAGCAAGAAAGAAAGAAAGAAAGAGTGAGAGAGAGAGAGAGAGAAAGAAATGTCTATGCTCTCTTCTATTTTATAGAATTGCTTGTGTTACTATTTTTTTTCAATTAAGGATTCAATACTCATTGAAGATGCTTGTTTATGATTTGCTTCAATAGGTGGGTCTTCTTCTTCATCTGTATCAATAGTAATCACATTTACTGGTATTGATTTTGTCGCTGTAGGTTGTGGAGGTGGGGTCTGAAATACAGGTGATGATGTTGATTCTAGCGATTCTTTTGCTATACATGAATAAATAAATAAATAAATAAAAAAACTTCAAATTTATAATGTGCTTATTACCCTTTTTATTATTACGTGTTGTATTGCTTTCATCTAATGCCTTTTTCCTCTTTTTATCAATAATAGGAATTTTCTTATCACTTAAAGAAGCTAATTTGGACTTATATTGACTATATTGTCGACTCATTTCATAAGTATGCATCCATCCCTCTGGCCAACAAGATAACAAGCGTTGATACATTAACTTTCTTGCTTTACCATCTGAAGCAAGTGATTCTGGCTTCTTCTCAGGATCCTTATGTAATCTATACAAATTATTCAATTTATGGATGGTATTGTATTTGTAAGTAAATTTAAACTATTCCGACTTACGCTACTTGATTTGCGATATGAATAGATTGCTCTTCTGTTTGAATAATATCATATAAAATCTTTCTAACTTCATCATTGCATTTGAAGCGTGGAGTTGGTGTTGATTCTTCATCTTCTGTAGTTTCAGTAGATGCTAACTTTTCATTAAATAGTCTTTGTTGCTCAGGCATCATACGATCAATTGTTTGTTTTAATAAAATAGCTAATTCATCAATCTCTTGTTGTAATTCATCCACCCTCATTTGTCCTGATTTCGTAGTTAAGAATTTCTATATAAATGTATATGCATAATATTAGTTTGTTACTTTTATCTCTTTAATGCATGTATTTAATATACTTTTAAAGTAAACCGGTTATAAGGTAAGATGCTCATTAAATGATAGACAAGATTATCATCAATCACTTTATATTTTCTAAAAGCAATCAGTCCAATTTCAAGTACTGTAGGTTTTAGAGTTAGAGGAAACTTGGCCTTGTTTTCAAACTTTTCAAATTGAACATCGTGTCTTAGTTTTTTCATTAACAATTCAATTTCTGGATCCAAAGGTTTCTATAAAAGATGTTAATCAAGTTTTTTTTTTTCTTTTTTTTTTAAAAAAAAAAAAAAAAAAAAATAAATGAACATATCCTCTTTACCAAAACAGCTGGTATAGTAGGCTTCTTTTTATTTATTGTTGTTACAGAAGAAGCAGGTGAAGAAACTGTTGAAATTGTCTTTTCAATAGCTGTTGAAGAAGCAGCACTTTGAATAGTGGGTTGTTCTGTTGTTGCTGTTGTTGCTGCTGCTGCTGTCGATGTTGTTCCTATTGTCAACGTTGTAGGTTCTGGTTTTTTCTTTTTAACCTGTTTATTAATAGTTGTTGGTTTCTTTGTTGTCGCTGTACCTGTAGTTGCCTTAGACTTAGCTGAAGTTGTAGTGGTACCAGCAGTAGTAGTAGATTTCTTTTTATTGCTTTCTGATTCAGTGGATGCCTTTTTGCGTGTTTTATCTGCAGTTGCAGTATTTATTGTCTTTTTATTGGCTGTTGTTGCTGATGATGATGTGCTTGACTTGGTTGATTTTGTTGTCGATGTTGTTGTCGATGTTGCTGTTGTTGTTGCTGCTGCTGCTGTTGCTGTTGCTGTTGATTTGCGCTTTTGTGTTGATGCCTTCTTTTCACTAATAAAAAGAATTCAAGTAAGATAAAGGAATTATTGTTGATTTTTTTTTCTTTAATTATTTACGTTTCATGACCATCTAATGGACCATAATAAACAAAGAATCCATCAAATTCAGGTGCGGAATATTCATAAGGTTTATCTAACAACATTTCACTATCATCAATGAATGGATCCTCATAATCATATTCATTACTATTGTCTTGTTTCCTAAGCTAAATCAAATAATTGACTTAGTATTTCAAAATATATACAAATTTTAATGTTTTATTTACGGCTGGTGTATCATCATCATCATCATCTTCATCATCATTATCGTCATCTTCATCATCGATAGAGTATCCTTCAGCCCGTTTTAATAATTCTTTATAAAAAGCATCTTCTGTACTATCTGTAAATGTCACAGGCGCTATTGTTGTAGGTGTTTCAAGCTTTTTAAGTTCTCGTTTGTAGAGTTGACGATAATTAAAGACAACAGGACGCGGCTGATTAAATGTGTTAACATGAATACGTAAGGTAGTTTTAGGAGGCTTCTTTGGTTGAACTGTTGGTGTTGTTGTTGTTGTTGCTAATACTTCTGATATTGCTGCTGATGGCGCGATTGAAGTAGATAATGTATCTGTGGTAGCCATCATAAGGGGGGGGGAGGGCACTAAGGGGAGAAAAAAAAATGAAATAAAAAGAAAAAAGAAAAATGTTTTTCATCATTTTATGATAGATTTTAAAGTCAGAAGAATAATCTACATCTTCTAAAAGACCTTAACTAACTCAGATCAAGGAGAAAAGAAGGGAAAAATAATATGATTCATGACCACAACAACATACATATTTAACCATTCTAAATTGATTTATTTTTAATACTCTCTTTACATTAACAGTTTATCTAATACGCAGCGCTATCCTTATTCACTTCAAATATAGCAAATTTCGATTAAATAACCTTGTATATTATTTGATTTAAGTTTTTATGAATTCTTTATAGCTATAATTCATCTTATCAATACAGGTTTTATCATCGTTTCTCCTAGAATCCTTTTTTTTCTATGAAACAAACTATTTTAGCTCATCATGATATTATCTTATAATTTTACTCACTAGACTTTGTTACCGTCGATTACATATTTCTTTTATGTCTCTCTATATTAACTTTTGTCTTGAAAAATAAATTAACTATACTAGAATCACTTAATTTTCGGTCTGCGTTTTATTCTTTAAGCAGCAGTAGCAGTAGCAGTAGCAGAGAGGGAAAAGCTCAGTTTAAATATACACATGTATATAAAAAAAGGAGAGGGGAAGATATACTGCTAAATATCCCTTTCATGTGTCTAATAAAATGGAAGGAGAAAACGATAAGCTACGATAAAGTACTGTTATCTTTTTGCTCCTATTAGAACGTTTTTCTTCTTCTTCTTCATTGTCTTTCAAATGAAATTCTAAAGATACTGGTCACTATTATAAATACTCAATCCTTGAGAGTGGGTTCCATTAGTTTTTTTTTTCAACTCTCACAAAATAAGATTAGAAAAGGAAGCAGATACTAATCAACCTCCACGATTGGTTGTGTATGGAAACAGTAGTTTTCCATTACATTATGAAGCTACTGGCTACTTGGATCATTGCCCTCTTTTTTTTTATTAATATTAATTATAAATGAATAAATATACACATATTATCATTAAACAATTATATTTCTTAAAAACTTTTGTATAATAATGAATCCAACTCATTGACGACTTGTAGAAGAAGAATCGTCTAATGATATTTAGAAAAGAATCAATAAAGCAAGACAACAACAATAATAATAAAGGGTTAAAGCTGTAATATTCTAATTAGAAATAATGATGTAGGCCATAAAGTTGCTGAAGTCGGTATTAATTACAAAAAACAAAAGGATCAAACCAATGACTGAAGTTTATGTCATGTTACCAAAGTCTTTAAAAGATATTCTGAATAAGTTGATTGTTAAGAAAAAAAAGGATATTAAGAAACTTCTAATATGTTATTTAGATGATATCCAGTCAGATATTCCTAATAGGAATTCAACTACTTACGTCTAATGTTCATTAAAGAAAAAGATATATAAATAAACCTATATCATTCAATAGTAACTAAATCCTACGTTATTAGCACTGTATCAAAGAAGATCTGAAGCAATTACTCTTACTAAAATAAGATCGAACAATAGTCAAGTATTCTAAATTGTTAAAGATATCTGTGATTAAGTATAAGTCGCAAAAAGTGTTATTTATAGCCACATGTTATCGTTTGTTTGTATATGATGAACTAAATATTGTTCGTAGTTAATAACTACTCTTATCATCAATAAACATGAACTCGCTATTCTATCGTTCCATCAGCCATCGGAGGCACTATACAGACGGGGCAATTCACAGGGCTGTTCATAGCCGGGCTTAAAACAGACTCCCCCATATTGCCTCCGTGTTCGAATATTTAACGTGGTGAACAAGGCGGTCTCCACGGCTACGTCTGATTGGCTGATAAAAAAAAAAAAAAAAAAAAAAAAAAAAAAAAAAAAGAGAGAGAGAGAGAGAGAGAAAGGGAGGAAATTAAAAATGTGTGCCTTTTTATATCTTTTTTCTCATCATGCATGATGATGCATAATATGACTGTTATCATCGTTAAAACTTTAATGATATAAAATGAAATGTTACACGAGTGGCCATTACTTGTATCCTTATCTTTTATAGATGAGTAAAAAAAAAAAAAAAAAAAAAAAAAAAATAATAATATGTAACTTTGACAATTTTTATTGTATTTTTCAGCAAATAAGAGAAAATTTCAGAAAAAATAAGAGAAAATTATTGGACAAATAAGAGAAAATTATTGAACAAATAAGAGAAAATTTTAGGTCAATTAAGAGAAAAAAAAATGGCAATTAGCAAAAAATTTACTTATACTTAAATCTCATAAGTTTTTCTCCAGGGCTAAACACTTTTCAAAGAATCTGAGAGAATGGCGAATCCAGCCCTGGCAGTCTTTCTTAGTTACTTTGGAGCAGGCATCCATTATTCTGGGTGTGAGTGTCTCACCAGTTTCGAAAGGGCTTCTTTTGACGCCATACTTCACCTTCGACCAGAATAGCTCAATTGGGTTTAGGAATGGTGAGTACGGCGGAAGATATGCACACTTATAGCCTCTGCTTTCTATTAAGTTTCTTACTGTAGCTGGCTTATGTATGGGAGCATTATCCATTACCAAGTAAAAGCCCTTCATATTATTTCGGTCAAGAACATCCATCACATTACTCAAGTAATTTAAATAGTGCTCAGTCCTAGTTCCAACCTTAGCTGTCGTTGTAACAACCTTCCCATCTATTCTTCTCTTCTTAGCTCCCGAAACTAATATTGGCTTTCTCAAAGAGATGTCAATAATGCCGGCGCTAGAGATGGCACCAAGAATGGTTATTGTGGTGCCTTTTGAAGCAGGGACAGTTGTTTTAGCAGGTTCTCCTATCTTGGACCAGCCACGAGTGCGTGTCATGTGTAAATTGAACCCTGCTTCATCCAAAAAAACGCAATTATTCTCAAAGTCCATATTTTTATCAGCTAGCCATTGAAGGATGGTCTCCTTTCTCTTCTTAAGAGTTTCTTCCGAGTTTCTAGTAGATGAAATTTTCTCCAACTTCTTCATAGATAGTGCACAGCTGGTTCTAAGATGTCTGTATACTGCGGATGGGCTCACGGAGAGACTTGGAAATTCTTTGAGCAACAACTCGTGTATTCCAGCTACAGTTGCAGTTGAACACTCATCAACAATGTCGGTAATAAACTTTGTGTGTTTTTCAGTAAGCTCAGAGACAGTTCCCATTTTGCGCCCTCTTTTTTTCTGTTGAGGTATTTCCCCTGTTTTCTGCCATTGCGATTTGAAACGGTAAGCTGATTTCTCATTTATTCCTGTTTTTAAAGCTGCATCTTTTACAGGAACCTGTTCAATTAACAGGGAAATAAGCTTGTTGATATCTTGCTGAGTGTACACACGTCTAGCATTGCTAGCGGCGTCTTTTTTTTCGGCCAGATCTCTGAGAGGCTTCTCTTCTTTCAAATCGCTCTCACTACCCTGTACATCAGCTTCATTTTCCTCCTTATCCGAGCTATTGCTGGCCTCATCACCCTCGTACCCTTCCTTCAGCTCCATCGTCGCATCTTCATCTAACTCCATGGCTGATGCAGTGATGTTGTACTCCCACTTCTTTCTCATCATTGACATTACGCTGACAATGATTTCAGGTACAGCTTCAATGTCATCGTCGCGTAGAGAAATTTCGTTCATATCAAAGTCAATATCCATTTTTTGTTAATAATAGTGAGAAAAGTGCTTTCTACTAATTGCCATTTTTTTTTCTCTTAATTTTTCTTGGACTTTCTCTTAATTGACCTAAAATTTTCTCTTATTTGTTCAATAATTTTCTCTTATTTTATCCAATAATTTTCTCTTATTTTTTCTGAAATTTTCTCTTATTTGCTGAAAAATACAATAATATCACTTGACGGTGGTTTAAAAAAAAAAAAAAAAAAAAAAAAAAAAAAAAAAAAAAAAAAAAAAAAAAAGTACACATTGTTGACGTGCTTTTTGTTTCATTTTAAAAGACAATAATTATAATCGTAGATAACAGTGATCGAATTCATATTTTATTTGTATTTTTTTCTCTCTTTTTTTTTTTTTCTTTTTTCTCCTTTATTAGTGTTTTGTAGGTTCTATGGAAGATATTGAATTATCAAATCACACTTTTAACAGTGAAACGACAAATCAATATGTTGATAGCAATCATAGTGATACAGAAACTATAATAAAAGATAACATATCATCAACAAGTTATCAGCCATCATCGCGAGATAGCAATATCGATGGTGAAAGGCCTAATATCGAAATCGAGAAAAGTTTATGGCGTAAACAGTGGATTTCTAGGATGCCACCTCTTCCATTAATTCGTACAATCCTAAAAGCATCTATAGCTATTTTAATTGCTTTACTTTTTGTCTTTGTTGATAATTGTAGAAATGCTATTGGAACCGCTAGTATTCTTGTACCCATTGGCACTTTACTTCATTTTCCAATTCAACCTTTAGGTAAACAAAAAGAAAATTAAATGTAAATGTAACAAATTTAATGTAGATACATATATATATATATATATATATATATATATATTAATAGGTGTCCAAATTGAGGTATCCTACACACTGTATACATCTTTACATATAATACATCTATTTCACACTTAATTTTGTTTTCTTCCTCTAGTCAACTCTTCTTAGTTTATTTGGCGCTTTAGTAGGATCGGCATGGTGTTTTTTAGGTAAGTGTGGTTTATAAATAATAAATATTTATATTTATATATAAATATGTATTTACAAGTTTTATAATAGCCATGTTTCTCGCAAATCTTGCTAGAGATAGCACAAACCCTTTTCCGGTTCAGTCTAAATCAAGTGCTATTTTAGCCGTTTTGATGTTTCTTGGTGTTTTTGGTTTAACTCTTGTTCGTGTCAAAATTACACAAGGTATACAAATACGTTACTAAAAAAAATAAAATAAAAATAAGATAAATCTTACTAAAATTTATATAAATATTTGTGTATAGCTAATTTTGCAACTATTTTTGCTGGTATCATAATCGCTGTAAAGTACATGAAAAAAAAAAATTATATATCCTATTTATAATCATTAATGATAATATATAGTTTTCTTTAACGCAAGCTTCAATTACTCCTGGATTTCAGCCTATAATTGTCGTAAAGTAGAGAAGTAATACATATATATTATTTTTGCTCTTTTTATATACATAAATATCAACATTTATTTTTAGTATACATTTTTAAAACCCATTGCCATGTCAGGTGCAATTGCTATCATGGTAGATATCTTTCTATGGCCAAATGACAGTATCACAAAATACATGTCTGTCCTTAACAAATCCCTTAAAGAATATAATAGTTTCTTTCAAGAGCACTCTGAAGCCTTTTTATCCGCTACATCAGGGTCTGTTGCTATAACGTTACCAACATTACATGCACGTCTACAAAATAGTATTTTAAGCTTAATCGACTCTAAGCGAGAGGTACAACGTGAGATTCTATTTAACCGTCTATCTCATGGCGATATCAGACGTCTTACACACATTATCAAACGAATGCGTGAACCTTTACATGGTATTGGTCTTAGTCTCATCTCGAAAGCTGAACGCCTCAAGGATAGTTCACTTACTGAAGCCCTTCAACAAGACGATCACAAAGATGTTTTCTTTCAAAATCTGAAAGATCTTAGAAAGGCGGGTCAAGAATTAACCAATACTTCCATCCTTGCTCTTAATGAATGTAACGAACGACTTATGAAATTTTCAGGTCGTCCACGATCCGTGAAAAGTACAATTCTATGGCCCTTCCCTCGTCTCTTCTTATCAGACTATCGAAATCCAAATCATTCTCAAATAAGTGAACAACAACATCCGATCCAACCTTTATCTGATCGTATTGAGGCGGTAATTAAGAAATATGAAGCACAGTGTAAATCATCTGTTCCGCTCTTTATTGAATCTCATCCTCCTATAGATCACTTTGAGACACGTTTCACTGATCTTCTCCAAATTATTTATCTATTCCAGTACAGTCTGATAGAACATGCAAGACTGTTAAAGGAGCTCGTTTGCTGTATGGAGGAAATTGAGACAAGGCGTACTAGACGCCAATTATGGTTCCCTCAATTACCACTTCGAAAATGGTTTCAATCCCGTACCGTGGATGCTAATTTAGGTGGCACTCAAGTCACTACCTCTGCAAACTCTGAGACCCAACAAGGAACTGATTTAACATTGACACAAACTATGACAAAGCCAGATGCCCTGGATCAACAGGGGACTACAAAATTTGCATTAGGAGGAAGAGATCATGGATACCTTCGAGATCCAGATGTGAACCCACCTGAAACATCTCTTGAGTTTTTCTTTTATAACATGTATCGTTTAATATTATGGTTCCAAAGTATGGATGTCGTGTTCGCCTTGAAGACTGCAGCTGGTTTTGTATTGTTATCCTTGCCAGCTTATTTACCCCAAAGTGTAGGTTGGTTTTTCGCTTGGCGTGGTCAATGGGCTACCATTACCTTATTACTTTGGATGTTACCCATAGTTGGCATGTTTTTTGTCACGTAAGTAATAATATCAAAAAAAAAGAAAAATAATGAATAGTCTAATTTAAATATTATGCGTATGATACATACAAATATGTGTGTATTTATTTTAGTGTTACGTTAAGAGTGATAGGAACAGTATTAGGAGGTGTCCTGGGCATTATTGTATGGGAAATTGCTAGAGGAAATCCTTATGGTCTTATTGTTCTTATGTTTGTCTGTATGATTTTTTTCTATTATATATTTTTTACCAATCAAATATTCAAAGTTGTTGCTATTATGACTCAAGTCACCTTAATATTAGTAAGTATCACATTAAAAAAAAAAAAAAAAAAAAAAAAAAAAAAAAAATGGCATCAATGAAACTAAAATATTTGTAAAAGGTTGTTTGTTATGAATATCAATATGCAATAAGTGGTGCGCCTATTTATGATTCAGTTGAAGTTGTCGCTGGAAAGGTATTTATCGATTCATATGTTTTACAATTATTGAAAAGGCTGCCTTTTTTTTTTCTTTCTTTCTTTCTTTCTTTCTTTATCCTTATCAAATAACATATATATTTATTTATATATTTATATAGCGTATGCTTCTGGTAATTATTGGTGTTGGAGCATCTGCAATATTATCCATCATTCCAAAACCAATAACAGGTCGTGTTGAACTACGAAAACGAATTTCAAAGACAATACGTGATATAAGCAGACTCTATAGTATCTTGGTGAGTGATATCCTGATCACACATAACACCAGTTTTGAACCTACATTAGGTCAAATCAAAGCCTTTAGAAAATCAGCTCTAAGTATTCGTAGACAAATTGCGGATGAAAATACATATTTGAAGATGTCCAAGTTTGAACCACCTCTTAGAGGCAAATTTCCTTATGAAGTCTATGCTAAACTGGTAGAGAAAGTTGATAACATGGCTGATCTTCTTCAGGGTATGGCCTTTGCGTTACGATCAATGGATAAAGTATGGAAGCGAAATCTTATTAAAGTAATAGAAGAAGAGAGACTTCACTACGTGGCTAATATATTGTCCATCATGAAACTTGTATCATCCACAATGGCTTCTAAGATGGCTTTACCTCCTTTTATGTCATCACCTACAGAAATGAAGCATCAGTTAGTCAAAAAGTTGCGTAAAGCTATTATAGAATGTCCTGATCATCTTGATAATGATACCTTTCCAAGTTATTGCGCGTATACTGTAAATTCGTCCAAGTTTGCAGAAGAATTAGAAGAAGTGGTTGCATTAGTAAAACAACTTGTGGGTGTCGAGGATCCTGAGCAATGGCTTCTCCTAAATGCTTAGGTTGTTTTGTTTTGTTTTATGAAACAATAATATGCGTAAACCCTTTTATATATATGTATATATTTTATTTTAATAAATACGATAGTTATATATTTTTTTTTTGAACTCAATTGTTGAATGCTTATTGAATTCTTGAATTATATTGTACTGAAGTATATTTTGCTATTCAAAATATATATATATATATATATGTATCGGAAGTAGCTGGTTACCCTCAAATACTAGAAACAATATAAAGAAAAAAAATATCATCATAAATTTATAATCAAAGCAATCTAAATAAAGATATTTGTAAACAATATTGTAAAAGAGATCTAGTAATTTATAACAATAAGATTTATTTATAGGAATTCTATGCTATATCGTTTAGAAAGGATACAACATGTACGAATGAAAGTTCCAGTTTTGAATCCAAGTTAAAAAATAATTAACGTTGCGTATTATTTAACTCCATTTCCAAATAGAATTATTATATTGACTGTAAAGAGTTGCTATTACAGTCAAAGAAACTAGGTCGGGCCAATGAGAAAAAATTTGGTCGTTTCAAAATTGGATTGGAACACCAACCTAGTTTCTTTGACTGTACAAAGAGATAATCATGAGCACTTATTTTAATTATGAATACGAAATAAAGCCAGCTAAAAATAATTGTGGTTCGTCAATGACACAATATGAACACGTCAGATGTCTATAGCATTAGAGAATAATGTCTTGATTTATAAAGTTACCTTTTTGAACTCTTCCTTTTTTTTTCCCCACCTTAAATCCGAATAGTTCGTTTTGAGTATTTTGAAATAGTCTTCACGTTCATGTTATATTAGTCTATATGCTACTTTTTTTTTAAACCCAAAAAAAATAACACATGACTCTAAAAATCAAATGTCTCAGGAACCATAATTATATTAGTTACAGCTATTGATAGAACAAATCATTGTCGGTATCAAAGATATAATAAGATATTACTTAATAAATATATCCACTCTTTTGAATATACTAACTTTGATTCTTAACGAATACTCTTCGTATCTTTTGATTTATTTTTCAACCTTTTACATGCATAAAAAGGGAGAAAATAGATGTATATAAATATATGAATTATTATATCACACAGTTTATGTTTTCTATTGTTCTGAATAAATAAATAAATGATCGTCTTTCACTTTATTTTTCTACTTATATAATATGCCGTCATATCAAAAAGATATTACATTGATATTTTTAATAAGGTTCTTTAGTTTAAAGTAAAGTTGGCAAACATTCACTTCTCTCCCCCCCATTCATTTTTTATAATATATTGATATTATTGGTAAATATATTATAGAGTTCAATGTCTTTATACTCTTAGAAATAATCTCTATTCCTAAAATAACGTAAAATAAGACGAAAGAAAAATTAATTAAAGTATAGAAAAAGGGCTTTTTGGGATTAACACCTTGAATTGGGGCAAATGATTAAAACTCAGTGAAAAAAAAAGTGATTTGTTTATAATGAACTTCTTTGTCTAATGGTTGACATATATCAAATACTAAAGTATTATTAAATAATGTAGAGTCTTTTTTTTTTCTTTGGTTCAACGTTCAAGTAAATTTTGTATATAAAACTACTACTTCTTTATAATAATAGTATAAATTAGTTTAATTTTATATCAGTGAAAGTAGAATATAACATGCTGACAAAATTTTTTAACTTAATTTCGGAAACTTATTGGTATAAAGTTTCACTTTTAATATAAAAAGCCAGAAAAAAAAAACTTAGACATTATTCTTAACCCCTTTTTTTTTTTAAACAAAAAAAATAAAATAAAATAAAATAAAATTCAAAAGAATGGTTAAAAAAGTATTTGAGGCACCTTATTCAGTAGAAGCTATAGGCTACCAAAAAAGAGAGGGTGAGACAGCTGTTTATAGACATTTCATGTTTGCTGATAAACTATTGGCCCATCCTCCTGATATCTTTACAATGTGGCAAATGTATCTTCATGGATATAATAGGAGTAGCATAGGTAAGCATTGAAGCTGCCAAAAATGTATGTTTAACATTTGTTCTGATTTTATAATTTTTTTTTTAAAAAAAAAAAAAAAAAGACAGACCATTTTTAGGTACTCGTCGAATAGAAGATGGTGTATATAAAGAATATGAATGGGAAACACATCGTCAAGTTAAAGATCATATTGAAAATTTCGGTAAAGGCCTTTTACGCTTAGGCTTAGAAAGACAAAATACATTAGGAGTTTATAGTATTAATCGCCGTGAATGGGTAATATATTACATATATATTAAAAAAAAAAATTCTTTTTTTTTTTTGACACTTGTATCATTTTAATAGACGATTACTGAGATAGCATGTTATCGCCAAGCATTTATTATTGTCGCTCTTTACGATACATTAGGCCCTGAGGCTATGGAACATATTATTAACGAAACTGAAATGCAATATATCGTTGTTAGTAAAGATAAAATCAAAAATATCTTGGATATTAAAGACAAAATTCCTACTGTTAAACATATTATTTCAATGGACGAGGATATTGAGCCTTCTCTCTTGGAACAGGCAAAACAATTAGATTTTCATATTTATACATTTCAACAAATTGAACAATTAGGTGAGGGAGTAAAGGAAGAATCAGACATGCCTAAAGTAGAAGATATTGCCACTATCTGTTATACAAGTGGTACTACAGGTGTTCCTAAAGGTGCTGTCATTACACAAGCCAATTGTGTTGCTTCAATTTATGGTGTATCTCATACAAGTGAAATGGGTACCTTAGGCCATATTGATGAAACAGATGTTTATATCTCTTATTTACCTATGGCTCATGTATTTGAACGTGTTGCTCAAAGTTTTTTTATCTATATGGGTTGCTCTATTGGATATTATCATGGTGATACATTAAGTTTATTAGATGACATTGTAGCTCTTAAACCTACCATCTTTCTTTCTGTTCCTCGTCTCTTTAATCGTATTTATGATAAGGTAATGGCAGGAGTAAATGCTAAAGGGGGTATTACCAAGTACCTTTTTGATATGGCCTATAATGCCAAAAAGGCTAATTTGGAAAACTCAGTAGAACATTGGCTTTACGATCGTTTAGTGTTCAGTAAGATACGTGATGTTTTGGGTGGTCGAGTTCGGTTTATTTTAAGTGGTTCAGCTCCTATTGCTCCTGAAGTACTGGATTTCTTAAAAATTTGTTTCTCATCCTGTGTCCACGAAGGCTATGGTCAAACTGAAAACTATTGCGGTGGTGCATTGGTAAATAAATAATGATATATAAAGAAACATATAAATATAAATTACCTTACTGACTGATGATTATCATTATATCATTATATATATATATATATATATATATATTAGACTATTTTGGGTGATAATACCCCTAGTGTCGTTGGTGCACCTTTCCCTTGTTCAGAAATTAAACTGATCGATGTACCTGAAATGAACTATTTCTCTACCGATCATCCTTACCCTCGTGGAGAAATCTGTATTCGTGGAAACTCAATTATGAAAGAATACTACAAGAATCCAGAAAAGACGGCGGAAGCAATTGATGCTGAAGGCTGGTTACATACAGGCGATATTGGTATGTTGGATGATGCTAACCGTTTAGCTATCATTGATCGAGTCAAAAACATCTTTAAGCTCTCTCAGGGTGAATACATTGCTCCAGAAAAAATTGAATCCATCTATCAAAAGCATCATTTAATTGCTCAGGCCTTTGTCTATGGTGACTCAAAACAAAGTCAATTAGTAGGTATCTTTGTACCTGATAAGGAAACTCTTCTACCATGGGCAGCAAATCAACAAGCTGACTTTATAAACAAGACCTATGAAGAACTATGTGCATCACCCAATATGACAGAAGCTATTTTGAAAGAAATTAATACATTTGGTAAAGAAAGCCAGTTAAAGGGATTTGAACAAGTTAAAGCTCTTTATCTCACTCCTCATGAATTCTCTATCAAGAATGAGCTTCTGACGCCTACCTTTAAATTGAAACGTGAAGTTGTACGCAATCTTTATTTTGAGAAAATTACCGAAATGTATCAAGTTTTATCGAATGGTAGATCTTTTAATTAGAGAGTAACTTATGTATAAATATGTGTATATATATTGGATTATGCTGTTTTATATCTCTTGTAAGTTTTCTTTTTTCATTATGTATTAAATTTCTTTTTTTTTTATATATATAAATATACATATATGTATTTATATAAACCATTACTATTACATATTTTTATATTGTATTGTATAATAAAAACATGTATATGTCAATCATATATTACTATTTACAAAAATATTTACGATAGACTTTGTATTAAAGAATCTAACTCATTTTTTAATACTTGGATTTGTTCACGTATACGCAATTTTTGCGAATCATTTAATTGAACCCAAGCCTCCTCTGATGGCTTCTCAACAGTAAATTTCCCAAGCTTATCAGCCGTCTCTTCAGGATCTAAGTGAATCGTGATTTCTGGATGATCTTGTCTTGTTAAATGAACCAATAATGGCTTCAAAACATGTTGACGATGAACATTCTTGTCATTTTCCTCACTCTGCGTCTCTTCCGATAACAAAGGTTCCATTATTTCAACTTTATTTTCTTCTGTGGTAGATATCATCTCCTTATTTAACAATATAAAATGTTAATCTTCAGTTAATTACAAATTGCTTTTATAAAGTTACTTTTGTTGCTTCTTCAACTTCTATATCACTTTCTATATCTTTCTCTTTCATGTTTTCCTCTTCTATATCTTCATGTTGTTCATCCATCGGTTCCGCATCTTTTTGTTCTATACCTTTACTTTCTTCGTCTCTCATCTCATCAACCTTTTCAATTATGGGACTTGATAGTCTCCTTTTCTTTTTTTCTGTTAAATCTTTTACTTCCATATAACTACTTCCATTACAACCTAATCTATATAATGATTAGTTTTTCTTATATTTAATTACACATTTACATATCAATTATAGCTTACTTTTGTTTCCTATTGTTAAATTCAAATCCACCACCACCTATGATTCGTTGTTTTGCTTGTTGTTCTAGAAACTTTTGAGTATCTGCTTCATAATATTCACAAAATTCTTTAACAGTCAGTTGACGAACAGACATGAGCATTTTATTTATTTGTGTGTTCCCTTGAGCTCGTAATGAAGCACAAATGAATTCAATACGATGCTGAAGGTCCTCTATCCGTCTTGTAGCTAAAAATTGTATATAATAAGAAATATGAAACCTATAATGTACATGTATACTTTAAATAATTTACTTTCTTCTTCTAAAATGGCTATTGCCTCTTCAATTTCCTCATTTGATTTTGAATGCATATTTACATTAAAGTAAGACTTTCATGTATTTTTTTTTTTTTTTTTTTTCAAAACACAAACTTAAAATAAAATAAAATAAAATAAAAAATAGATAAAAAAAAATGCATATCTTTATCAATGTCACGTTTTTTTTTTTTTTTTAAATTTTGTACTGAAGGATCTGTACGCCAAAAGTTTTAATAGGATTAAATATTTATTTTTATAAATTAAAATTTATAAAGTGGCCTATGAGCACATAATATCTTTGTTATATTGTATTGCTCAGGTCAGTTCAAATTATGTGCAAAAAAAGTGTCTAAAAACCCTCTTATGGGACAAGAGGTAAAAAGGTAAAGGAAAGGAAGAAGAGAAGGCGAGAAAGAAAGGGGGAATATTGCTAACAAGTTTAAAGGGACAACCAGTTAAGTAATTTCCTGTCTGAATCAAGAAGTGGAGAGGGTAGTTTGTCGTGTATTAAGTAATCCATTTCCTGTAGAATGGTGTACATAACTGGCCAGTAATAAAGCCAGGCAGAAACATCCTGAGAATTTCGGTACTTATGCTGGGGGGAGATGATTTAAAAGAAAGGAAAGGGGATCTGTAATTGATCGTGGCGAGAATAAACGAGTGTGCATGCGCAAGCATTCAGTGGTGAATAGTTATAATTACGATTAAACTAAAGAATTTTATTTAAAAATTAAAAAACGACCAATGAGCATATAGCATCTATATATGCTGTTTTGCCCTAGTCAGATTGCTATAAAAACCCCCTTCTGGGATAAAAGGGAAAATGTTAAAGTGTATGTATAAGTGATGATAATTAACTATCAGAAAATCGTTGTTGTATTGAAAGAAGATGATGGTCAGAGGGTTCGGGGATTTGGGAGTGAAGCTAGATAGTCCATCTCCAAGCAGAATTGCACATATAGAAGGCCAGCATATGAGTCAGGCATCAATTGATTTTCTCACTTTCTTAGTATGAAATGTTGATAGTAATATGTTCAAGAGATACGAGAGTGGATCTTCAATAGATTTGGGGCATCTGAAAGCGGTTATGCATATGCAAACAAGAAAAACTATGTGAGCGTGTGAAGAGTTCATTTGGATGGAAGGGGCAGGCTTGGGGTTTACCAAGAGGTAACCAAATCTCGAATACAACAGTTATCAATTTATTTATTTATTTTTTACTCTTCTTACCCTTTCTTCTTTTTATTTATCATAAGTAATTAAAAGTGGATCCTTTAAAAGTAATAACGATTAAAAGCTCTATATCTGGGATAGGGTGGAAACCCGAATACCTCCCAAGACTCGAAAAATTTGTGCGCACCATAAACACGCTTGTGATTCACACTTTTGCTCTAATCAAATTTATATTCATCAGTGAATTAAAAAGATGTGAAGCGTTCAATATCGAAAAATATGCTGAAAAAGACTTCTACATACAAGCTTTTTTCGTCACTTGTGCAACATACGAAGAAGTTGCCACCTACAAAATCAACTAAAATCACAGAGTTTAGAAATTTGATTAAGAAATACTTGAACGAATATTGTGGATTATGTGGCTATACCCCCTCATAGAATTGAAATATTCTCAGCAAAATTGCTGCATATGAGTGCGCAAAGATAGATACTACCTACAAAAACGGCACCATGCTGCAATTTGGTAATAAGCTTAGGACGTTCGTAAATTTACTGACTCAGCAAAAAGTGGCTGAAAAAGAGATTAAAAAAAAATCATTAAAAACGAGATAACACAACCTTGCACTCAATTGAAGTAATCAGTTGCTTCAGGAAATATCCAAATTCTACCCGTGGATCAGTTAACCGAAGAAGCGATCGTACATATATGAGATTTTTTTAGCATTTATAGTTCACAATATAAATTCAAGAACAACAACATTTATTATGACTGCAAAGCGAATCCTATTGCTCACTTAAAAGCATATTATAAATTAGCTGATTTGTGTGAACGTTTAGGTTTCAAATCATTTGCATGCTTCCCATTGAGGCGAACTCATATACCATGTTATGTCACCATTGACTCTATGATATTGAATAACAATATTTTAGAAGATTCCCAAAGATCAAAACTAGATAAAAACCTTATTTGGGAAAAAGCCGTCAACATTTCCTGTATGCCCTAAAAGATCAAGGTGATGCAAAGTCACTCAAGTTTCGTGGAATGATCCATACAGATGGTGTTAGGGTCTCGATATTGAAACAAAACAAGGAAACCAGCAAAGGCAGCTCAAGAAATACTAGTAAACGTTTGCAAACAAACAATAACGAGTTTTAATATATCGATAAGTTGAACAACGAAGAGCTTCAACGTACCACCAACAAGTGCGTATTTATAGATCCTGGTAGAAGGGGTATGTTATTTTGCATGGGTGAGAAATGCGAATCAAGACACGATGGCTTCATATATCGATACACCAGCAATCGAAGGGCTAAGGAGACAAAGTCAAGGAAATTTAGAAAATTTCGTCAGCAAAATAAGCCCAAGACAGTCAGTGATTTAGAGAAGTCTTTGACTACGCATTCCACTTCGACAGTTGATCCCCAAAAGTACTCTAGATATTTAGAAGCAAGATGGGATGCAAGTGATCTCCTTTCAAACTATTATCGAAGTGATTGTTCTAGATCACTTCCTTTCAGGAAAATAAAGCTTTTCTCTTATATCAATAGGAAACAATCAGACGCCCGTCTGGCAAAGACGTTAAAACAAAAATTCGGTGAAGGCTGTGTACTTGTTCTTGGCAACTGATCCGCCAGTAATACGAACCTATCAGAGGTGTTGGTATAAGGAGGATGTTGAAGAAAGAAGGATTACAAGTATACTTGTTGGACGAATACAAGACGTCGTCGTTCTTCCCCAAATGTAAAAATGGGAAGTTGGAAAAATTTTCTCATGTCAAGAATCCTCGACCGCATGTGCGAGACAAGTATCCAGTAGTTGAGTGCCATTGCCTATTACGGTAAACATTAATTTTATTTTTTAAAGAAAAAAGACGATTCTTATATTTTCTTTCGCTAGATGTACAAATCAAAAATGTTTAGTGCCTTCTCAACTCTGGAACAGAGACTTGGCCGCCGTTTAGAATTTTAGAAATATTGTGTTAAGCTACAGACAAGCCCTTGGTCGTCCCTCTAGATTCAAAAGGGAAACATCAAAACGCGCTTCAACAAGCACCACCACCTCCACTTCCAAAAAAGTTCGCTTTATGCCTCCAGACGACGTTTCTCCTGAGGGAGGAAATACTGATAGAGTAAACATATGATGCAGATAACTTACATACATGCACTTGATTGTTCGAAAACTATTGTTTTTTTCTTTTTATCTAATTTCCATTTTTGCTTCGTCCAAAAAAAAAAAAAAAAAAAAAAAAAAAAAAAAAAAAAAAAAACTAGCATCGTTTGAATTTGAAGTATAAAAACTGTAGGCCGTAAAGAATAACATTTTCTTAACTGAAATTTGACTTCCTCTTGATTCTTTTTTTTTTTTTTTTTTGATTAAAAATAGATATTAGTAAGAATTTCTACCATCAAGTGCCCTGTTTTCTGTTATTAATACTGATATTACTTTTGTAAGCTATTACATAAGGCTGCTGTACACTATGGGATAAATTTCAGATTTATGGCTGATCAGCTTGAGCAATAAAAAAAAATGCAAAATAATTAAAATCTGATACAAGTGTGTAATTTTTTTTTTTTTTTTTTTTTTTTTTTACATTAATTATAAACCATGTCATCAAAATCAACTTTAGGAAAAGGTTAGAATTTAAACAGCAATTGTATAGATTAGACTTGACATTTTATTAAAAAAAAATAGCTTCATCAAAAAAACGCAAAATTGGAGGCTCATCAGTAGAGGATCATTCTCAACCTAAACTTGATGTATTTTTATCTCCCAAGTCAGTATCACCCAGCAAGGATAATTATATGGAAATTGATAATATAGTTCCTATAAAAAACATTCATTTAGGTGCCTTTCATAAACCAACTTCAGAATTATTAGTTACCATTACAAACATGATTCGTAAATTACAATGTTTTAATTTTACACAAATGTCATTTTATTTAAATGTATACTTTAGCTACAAGATTGAACGAATTATCCGATGCAGAATTTGAAAAGAGTTGGGAAAAACAAAAAGCATGTATTCAAGCTATATTTTCAACTGAGCAACATAAGAATTTTAATTATTTGACAACATCTAGGGTAATTAAAATATAAATATACATGCATGCATGTGTTTGCCTTTTTCAGTTATTTATTTATATGGGCTATAGTTATGTGAAAGCTGTTGCCGTTTTGGAAAATCAGAGAAATTGTATGAAGCACTTGTAAGAGAAATTGAACAATATACATTGGAGATACAAAAAAGTTTAGTACCTTTAAACCGTGAATTGTTGGTTCGTTTGAACTCAAGCTGGAACACCTATTGTCACCATTTAACAGTTATTCGAACTGTATTTATGGCCTTAGATCGTACTTACATATTGCCCAAAACAAAATTTCAATCTATCATGTAAGTATTTATCACATATATGTTTCTAATACACATATTGATCTCTCTCTTTTTTTTTTTTCTTTAGTGAATTAGGAAAGGGCATTTTTAGTAAAAACATTATGGATATTGAAGAATTTCGTAATGTAGTTGTAGCCGAAGTATTGCAGTTGATTAAACTTGATAGGTAAAATAGTTTGACATGAATATGCATATAAAGTACTTAATATTATCGTAAAGAGATTCTAAAATAGTAGATGTAAAGTTGATTCATGATATTTTACAAATTATGATTGAATTATCCTATTATTCAAGTGATTTTGAGAATCGATTCTTGACGAGTACCAACAATTATTATAAGGAAGAAGCCAATGAACTTATTAATGCTTTATCTGTTTCGGACTATATTCAACATGCTTCTATACGTCTTCAAGAAGAATCTCAAGATCGCATTCAAAATTATTTAGATAACCGCACTAAACGAAGTTTAACTCATGCAGTTGTGGATCAGCTCATCTATAAAAAGGCATCTAAAATTATTGAAAAGGGATTTAACAGCATCCTTGATAACAATTTAGTTGAACCTCTTAAATTGTTTTATGAGTTATTAGGACAAAGTGAAGAAATGAATTTACTGCGTAAAGCGTTTGCTGATTATATAAAAAGACAAGGAGCTGCTCTAATCAAAGATCCTAAAAATGATCCAACTATGATCCCTTCCTTATTGAAATTTAAAAAGAAGATGGATAGAATATTAGAATATTGTTTCCACCATGATGAATCACTTATGAATGTATCCAAGGAAAGCTTTGAATATTTTATTAATACACGAGGAAATAAACCAGCTGAGATGCTGGCTAAATATATTGATTCTAGGCTAAAGATCTCTATAAAGGTAGACAAACAAACCAAACAAACAAACAAACAAACAAACAAACAAAAAAGATGTATTTAATGTTATAAATGTTCGATTATTTATATTATATATAGAAACAACGTATGAATGTTACAGAGGTTGATTTGGCAGTATTGGATAGTGCTTTAACTTTATTTAGATATATTCAAACAAAAGATACATTTGAAGCATATTATAAAAGATTTTTAGCAAAGCGTTTACTTTTAGATCGTTCAATATCGCAAGAAACTGAAAAGCATGTACTAGAGGTGTTGAAACTTGAATGTGGACATGAATTTACAAAGAACTTTGAAAATATGTTTAAGGATATTCAAGTCTCGAATGATTTAGCTATTGCTTTTAAAGATTATGAAAAGCACCAATCACGTATGCCGATGAATGTGAAAGTCATTGCCCAGGCCTTTTGGCCAACATTTCCTGTTTCCAAAATCAAGCTTCCTCCTAATGTAAGATATAATATATAGTATATGTTTTGCGAAGTTATTTTTTTAAAAAAAAAGAAAAAATACAAATATATATGTATATGTATAGATGCAAGCAAGTCAAAGATTATATGAAGAGTTTTATACATCAAAGTTTAATGGCAGAAAGTTAAATTGGCAAAATTCATTATCATCGCTTGCAATTGTTGCACATTATCCCAAGGGTAACAAAGAGATTGTGTTAAGCTTATTGCAAGCTATAATTCTATTATTATTTAATGATACACGTAAAAAATTATATACATTTTCTGAAATACAAGCTGCCACTGGTTTAGGTATTTTATGCAGACAAATTACATCTATTTTCAGTACTCATTTTTTTTTTTTTTTTTACATTAGAAAATAAGGATCTAAGTAGTTTATTAGCATCACTTTCAACTGAAACTTATCCATTAATCAAAAAAACAACATCAACAACATCAACTATTACTCCACAAGATAGCTTTCAGTACAATTTAGAGTTTGAATCACCTAATGTCCGAATAAGAATACCAGCGGCCGTATTTGAACAAGCAACAGATGAACACAAAGAAGTAGAAGAAAAGGTTCAAGTAAATCGAAAGCATCAATTGGAAGCTGCTATTGTTCGAATTATGAAAGCCAAAAAGACATTAAGTCATAGTGCACTTATTAATGAAATATTTACTCAAATGAAATATCCAGTTGATGTAAGTATATAAAATATGCATAAAGGAGAGGGGTTTTTTCTCTTTTTTTTTTTTTCTAATTTAATTCATTAGGCAAACGATATTAAAAAAAGAATTGAAGCATTGATAGAACGTGATTATTTAGCTCGTGACATAAATGATAACTCGCTTTATAATTATATAAGTTAATAATTATATTATATAATAAAAATTATTTGTTAAATATCATAAACATGTATACAAAAAAAAAAAGAACTATCATAAAGCAATTCATTTTTTATTGAATTTTGATGTTTGAATTTATTGTGCTTTTTCCATAGTACCGACAAATTATATAAACTTGAAAATGATCCTGGTAGCAAAATAAATTGCAGACCATTCTTTAAGGAAAGCTTCTTTCCTAATTGGAGTTATTATTAAATAGTTACTTTATTATAATTCTTAACAAGAAGATCTAAATAAATTATCTAGATTGTTGAGAAACGAAACTTTAGAATAGAGAAGCAAGATGACATGAAAAAAAAAGGCAATTTAACATTCAGCTACGAAATATTATTGGTTATGTCACGTGACACATTAAATCAAAATATGAATATATATCAATAGATGGTTTTCTTTAATGTCCAGTTCATTAGCAACGAAGTAGATACGCAGCCAATAGAAGTGGAATATAATCTGCCGTTCAGAATAAATAGACTGAATAAGAGAAGATTTAAACCATCAGTAAAGGAGTCCGACGTGAGAAAGAAGAAGTCGAAGTTATGCATGATTTGTGAAGATAGAAAACGTCGGCATAATCAATTGACAACATGAGAAAATCAAGAAGACAACACTTATGCATCTTTACTACAATCACGATTTTCCCTGTTGTCATATAAACTTTATTTTGTAGCAAAATTAATATAAATATCGAAAAATAATTGATTTTAAAAAAGACAATCAATAAATATTATAAAAACTTAATTATATTCTTTGTTATTTTTTGTTTAATACCGTCCACTGCAGATAAATGTCTAATTTTACAATTGTAAAACAAGACTGAAATGTGTAGTTTCAGTCTCTTTTCAGTCTCTTTTCACAATTGTAAAATGTGTGATTTTACATTGTAAAACCTGACACTGTCAGTATATTTTAACAATTGTAAAAGTGTCTAATACAACAATTGTAAAACAATACTGAAATGTCTAATTTTACAATTGTTAAAAGTCTAATTTAACAAGGTTTCACTTGACAGGTTAGATCTGTTATTGGCTTTATTTCATTATATTTTAGGTAAAGCTGTATAACATTATAGCTTTTTATTGGCCTTTGCATTTAAAATAAATGCTTTTTTATTCGATATATTTTGTCATTTTTAAAATACATTTACTAATGGAGTTTATATTGTTTTTTAAAAAATAGTTTGATTTGTCTTTATTTATTCCTTTTTAAGATAATAATGTAGATAATAGATATAATGCATAATAAAAATAAAAAAAATATATACACGCTGCGTATAGACAACGATGAGGAAAGGATAGCTAATACTTGTAATATAGTAATGAGGATATAGCCATATCTTTTTTTCTACATATCAATGAGGAATCATTAAATTAGTATCAGTAGTAATAGATTAGTATAGGTTTACATTTATTACTTACTATCAAAAAAAAAAGTTCTTTTTTAATTCTATATGTTAATAAACAGAGTGGATGTTGTCTTCATATACCTACCTAAACAAAAAATATAATAAGTATCTAATATTACAACATATCTATTCATCATATAAAAGAGTTATAGTATAGTTTACCTATTACTGTTTTTAATTCTAATAATTTATAATGAGGATTTACTAAAGAATATGTTATTTTTTTCTTCTACATAAAATAACATATACCTTAACTTTAATAAGAATTATTCAAAGATTATAACGTATAATTTACCTTTACTTTTATCAAAAGTTTAATTCAAAGAGACAAGGAGAAACTGCAGACTAATAAAGAATAGAAATAAATCAATTAAAATGTTAAAAAGCTATAACTTTAAGTTTGTTTGAGAGATAAAAAAAAAGATACAGTCATTGTTCGAAAACCATAGATCATTTCTACTTTTCAATATTACAATTAGAATTAGAAAATACAAAGATTAGATTTACTACTACTATATATAATTACATATTCCAGCGAAGTGTTCATACTAGATATAAAATAAAAAGAAAAGTAAATGAAAAAAAATAATGGACAAGAAAAAAAAAGAAACAGAAACAAAATCAAAAACAAAATGCATAATAAATTCATATTGAGACATTTGATTCATTTGTAATGTTTTACATACAAACTAGAGCCCTATAAATAACAAGTCTTTTTGTTGAGATCAAGCTCATCATTTTATAAAATATAACTCTTTATCTCCATTATTTTAACTTACTTATCTTTAACCATTAATAATAATGTTCAACTCATCTGTAAACAACAAGCGACATAGAACTTTACAAGAAAGACTAGGAGGCCAAGCAAGCAGCATTCATAGAACAAACGCTGTTCAAATCAGTGTTCCTTCAAGAAATAATAGGGACACTACCACCATGAACTCTAATAATATTAATAATATTTTAGTCGAGCAATTGAAGCAAGATAATGCTAATCTTTCTAATCGATTAGCCAATTGTGAGCAACAAATTGGTCAACTTACCTCACAATTGCAGATAGTATGTAATACTTTAGAGCAATTGCAACAAGAACCAGCATCTTCTTCCGTATTAACAAAGCATTCGATTGATCACAGAAAAGACATTAAGGCAATTGGGGTAAATTTAGTATATATATATCAGTAAATAATATTTACTAATTGATCTATTGATTCATAATAGAAATTGATAAGAAGTCGTTTAGTGAATTTGCCAGAAGAATGTCCTCAATTTAATTATCAGAGGACTTTCATGGACAAAGTTAATAAGCCTGCTCGTTTAGCTATGATGGAGTATGGAAGAAGACATGTTGGAAAGTATCCTGTGTCGGATGTAGCTTTACATAGAATACTTTCCGACATGTTCAATAATAAAAAGCGAGAACTGAAAATGCTACCAGAGCAAAGGGTAGCAAGAAATACAAAAAATGCTACAAGGAGTATTAAGGATGCTGTAAGTAATAATAAGAATAAAG